CTTAGGATGCTTTATTAAGGCTAGGGAACACGGGTAGGAGGGAGAAGCTTGAAGATACATTTTGAATAAAGGCCTGAATAAACTGCTGAAAGAAGAATCCTGTGTTGCGTCTCCTTTGCCGGCCGGGGGTCGCGACAATGCAAGAATGGTTCAACATTTGAAAATCAGTCAATATAATATGTTATATTAACAAATGAAGGGGAAACCCACCTGATTGTTTCAGATGATTCAGAGAAAGTATCTGACAAAATTCAACATTCGTTCATAATAAAAATACCAAAAAGCTGGGAATGAATGAAACTCAGTTGGTTCTTTGACTAACTTTTAGGTAGATGGACTAAGGAAAAAAAAAAGAAAAGACACAAATTACTTAAATCAGAAATTAGGGACATTACTACCAATTCCATAGAAATATAAAGGATATACAACCTCAACTTTATGCCAATAAATTTGAGAGTTTGTGTGAAGTAGGCAAATTCCTTGAAAAATGCAAACCACCAATACTCTCAAGAAGTTTATATCCCAAACAGTCCTGTATCTAATAAAGAAAGCAAAACTGTTCTCTTATTATTTCTGTTCATTGCTGTAGTAGAGGATCAAGTAAAGGCATCCAGACTGTGAAGGAAGAAGTAACTTTATCTGAAGATGACATAATCATCTGTGTACAAACTGTGGAAACACTTAAAATGCTACTAGCCAATATTCAAATATAAATTGTATCTGTATATACTAGCAACAAATACAAATCTCTTATACAATTTATAATAGCATAAAATATGAAATATTTAGGGATAAATCTGACAGAATTTCACTGAATCTATAAAACATTCATGAGATAAATTTAAAAACCTAAATAAGTGGAAAGATCTACTATGCTCCTGGATTGAAACATTAAATATTATTAAAATGTCAATTCTCTTCAAATTGATATATACATTCAAGACCTTGGATATAGAAAACTCCATGATATATTTATGTAGATAAAACCATAGACACATTCACCTTTATTCAGTATTCACAAATATTTTCTGAGTACTTATGTAGCAGGCTGTCAAAATATAGTTATGAACAATACAAAAATGTTACTCTCATAAAACATGTCACATGTACTATGAGAGAGGGGAAAATAAAGGAGAAATCAAGAATGGTTCCTAAGTTTCTGCTTGGGTAACCAGGTGTATGATGATGGTACGGTGATTAAACTAGGAGAAGTCCAGGAATTATGAATTTGTTTTGGTCATGTCAAGTTAAGATGAATTTTAGGTATACAAGAAGAGATTTCAGATCAGATATAAGGAAGTAGGGTCTGAATTGAGAGGAGAGATAAAGGAGATTTGTCATTATCATATAAATGATATTTAAAACCATATGCCCTGATGAAATCATTTAGAGAAAGAGAAAGAACAACTTCAAAAAGAAAAGGCTTGCTGGGCACAGTGGCCCAC